AGACGGAGGATTGAACTACGAGTTATTAGGTATGGACCACGCCCGGTTCATGTACAAATATATGGTGCAGCAGTGGCAGCGCAATGACACAAGACCATTCGATGTAATTCATCCATGAGCATACACGAAATTCGAGCATCAGAGTAGCTATGCCCCCAATGAACTGTAGATGGTGTGGTTGTCGCCAGGTGACCCTATGGGTTCTTTCTCGGTGTATGCAGCCCATTCTTCGCCAAGGCTGCCTTCACTTACAGAGATCCAATGCATTGCCAACAGAGCCATGCCATACACCTACAGTCCTCAGCTGTCATAGACATAAAAGCTGCAAGGGCCAGGCCAATCTTGTTTACTCGCATAACTATTACCTGTCGACTCCATGGAGATTGTCTGTTACGCAATTGCGGTAGTCATGTTTTTGCACCTTCTTACTCTCAGCCGCCGAACCACCGACTGCATCCTCTCCATCACTTTCAGGACTCATACTCAATAGACTGCAATCAATACCTTTGTACCTTCCGAATGAGCCGACGGAAAGATCTCTAACTCCTGCACTCCGATTGGCTTGACTACATATCATTTCCTCCGGATTCGTCTTCGTCCCACAGCTATCCAAAGTCCCTCCGCGGTACCCCGCTATGTCCGGAGAAGATTCCGAAGTCCCAATCCGATGGATAAGTCTGTCAAACACTCGACCGGACTGGCAATCAGATTCCGACGGATGAAGCATCCGAGACATGCATTTCAGGCACAAGACGGTTATACACGGCAATGTATGAGAGCATCGGGGCGATGGCTTGCAACAGTGCATGGTCGTGTGGATGAAGTATAGGTGATGGGCTTGGTCGGTCTGATTTGAGAGCCATGTTGAAGTTCACAAAGGAAGGGTATATTAAATGTGAGCTGCATGGTAAGTCGACTCGTCTACCTGGCAGCTTGCTCATCCTGACTTATCGTTTCTTATCTTATCTATCATAGTATAGAAGCTCGACCAACCAGCTCTCGCCTGTGTTTATCATTCATGTATCGACGACGATTATTTACTCGGCCTTTAACCCACTATCTACAGACCTCCTTTCCACTTACACCCCTGAGAATCAGCACAGGCCGACTCAACTCGACTATGGCAGCATCGACTCAAGAATGGAGCCAGGATTCCCTTCGGGCCAGCTTCTGCCACGCACTCTCTGAGATGTACAAAACTGAGGTTCCTCTCTACGGCGATCTAGTCGATCTCGTCCACCAAGCCGATACAGAAACTATCATTGCTCAGGCCAAGCGCTCAAGTAATGATCTTACCGACGCGGACGATATCCTCCCCGCCCGCCACCGTGTCGAACGCCACGGCGCCATTCGGCTGGGTACTGCTCAAGAGCTCACCACCATCCGCCGCCTGTTTGCCATCATGGGCATGCATCCAGTCGGCTACTACGACCTCACGCTCGCCGGCTTCCCCATGCACGCCACGGCGTTCCGCCCTACCAGCCCGGAAGCCCTATCCAGACATCCTTTCCGCGTCTTCACCACCGTCCTCCGCATGGATCTCCTCACCCCACGCACACGTCTCCTCGCCGAACGCGCCCTCTCCCAACGTTCCATCTTCACAGACCGGCTCCAGACCCTCATTGGGATAGCTGAGAGCCGACAACAGCAGAACCCATTCACCCCTGAAGCTGGTCAAGAGCTCATAACGGAAGCCCTCAAAACCTTCCGTTGGCACTCCCACGCCACCGTCACATTGGACGAGTACCAGACCCTCAAAGCCGAACATCCCCTCATTGCGGATATTGTCTCCTTTCCCAACTGCCACATCAACCACCTAACGCCGCGGACGCTCGATATTGATGCCGTGCAGTCCAGAATGTGGGAGGCAGGTATGCCGGCCAAGGAGCGCATCGAGGGGCCCCCGAGACGGAACTGTCCAATCCTGCTACGGCAGACGAGCTTTAAGGCCCGCGAGGAGACAGTCTTCTTCCGGACCGGACATGGGGAGTATGTGAAGGGCTCGCATACGGCGCGATTTGGGGAAGTCGAGCAGCGGGGGCTTGCGCTCACGCGCAAGGGGAGAAAGCTGTATGATGAGATCCTGGCGGCAGTAAATACTGAGGTTACGGAGAAAGGAATTGGAGCTGGGGATGCGCAATATGAATGCATTCTTGAAAGACATTTTCAAAGATTTCCGGACGAGTTGGGAGAATTGTGGGCGCAGGAGTTGGCGTTTTTCTACTATCATGTCACTCCGAAGGGGAGTAAGGGCTTGAACGGCTTGGGAAGCGCGAGTGTGTCCCAGCTTCTGCGAGAAGGAGTACTGGAGTACGAGCCCATCACGTATGAGGACTTCCTGCCGCTCTCTGCAGGGGGCATCTTCAACTCCAACCTGGGGAACACGACACAGTCGAAACGGTTGATCATGGAGGCCGAGCCGGACCTGGATGGGTTTCACCGGATGCTGGGAGTTCCAACGACGGATGAATTCAGCTTGTATGCGCGGATGCAAAGAGATAGCCTGGAGCAGTGTCGGGTGCAACTGGGACTGGAAGAGATTGCGGAGTGAGATGTGGTTCGTGGAGATACAGTACAGTAAAGTACAGTAGAGTAGAGTACATGTCGTGTTGATAGTCTAGCATTCATTTATACCTGTGTCATTAGCCAAGACGTATGGACCTTGCCTCTTTCCCTTTTGAGTAAACATGTCGTGTTACTGCACTCCCCCCCTCTTCTTGCCAACAAATCCTCTTCCACCGCTCCTGGCCGAGTGCTTCTTCTTCATACTCCCTCAAACGGCATATCATTCACTGATCGCATCGTTATCCGACATTCATCTCCTCGAATGCCCCCCCCCCAAAGCATCGTTATCACGAAGATCCTCTATCATTAGTCCTCTGAACAACTACTGCTAGGTCCGAGCAAGTCCTCCATGCATACCTCCTGGCTTCTACTCAGCCTCGCAGCTGCAGCTGCAGTCTTCGCCCAGGAAGAGCAAGACCTCAACCTTTTCCACTACGGGCGACGAGGTCCTCTCCTAGGAACCTCCTTCGGTACACCCGGTGTAAACGCAACCTTTGACTATATCGTCATTGGAGGTGGAACTGCTGGCTTGACGATCGCGAGTCGTCTCGCCCAGAGTGAACGCTTCAGCGTTGCGGTCGTCGAAGCGGGTGGATTCTCCGAGATCGACAATGGCAATTGGTCCGTCGTGCCTGCGTACGCCCGAGGGCTCTTTTGCGGGGACGCCCCCGAGGCGTATCATCCACTGAACGATTGGGGCTTCAAGACGCAGCCCCAGCAAGTCCTGGGTGGCCGTGTCTTCCACTGTGCGCACGGCAAGCTCCTAGGAGGCAGCTCCGCTCAGAATAGTATGAACTATAACCGCCCTACCAAGAACAGCATGCAAAAGTGGGCAGAGGAAGTGGGTGACGAGAGCTATACTTTCGAAAGCATGCTGCCGTGGTACAAGAAGTCTGTGCGCTTTACTCCGCCGGATCCGGCCATCTGGGGTGATTATGACATTCTGCATAACAGGGACGCCTTCGATGATGGTGGTCCTCTTGAAGTCTCGTCGGGGAATTGGATCGATCCGTTGGCGAATACTGTACGCAAAGTTCTGACTGATTCGCTTGGGTTTAATGAGACGGAATTCAACAGTGGCGGCCTGCTGGGCTCCGGGTTTATGAGCCGAACTATCAATCCGAAGAATGCCCATCGTTCCTCATCCGAGTCCAGCTTCTTGCAAGAGGCACTCGATAGTGGAAACAAACTGACAATTTACAAAAGCACGCTCGCCAAGAAGATATTGTTCGACGGCGGAGACAAAGCCGCTTCCGAGGTCCTCGTCTCAACAGCCGGCACGTTTGGTACCTCGAACCTCGATTTTTACCTCAGAGCTCGCGAAGAAATAATAGTTTCAGCTGGACCCATACAGTCTCCGCAACTGCTCATGGTCTCTGGCGTTGGGGAATGCGAACAAATTTCTAGATATGGTATTCCCTGTATCAGCCACCTCCCAGGCGTCGGTAAGAACATGCAAGATCATCCTGTCGTGATTACAACATGCCGTGTGAACGAGCACATGGTACCTTCGTTGGTGACTGACGAGGCATCAAACCAATTACATGTACGACAATTTCTTGAGAACGCCCGAGGGCCATTGACAATCATAGGGCCCGGGTACTTTGGCTTCGAAAAGCTGCCGCAGCAATACCGTTCCCAGCTATCTGAGGAGAATCTCATGGGACTTGCAGACTTTCCCGGGGACTGGCCCGAGATCGAATGGGCACTTAGTGGTGTGAGCCGAGCCACCGATGCTTCTGAGGGAAACTACACCATCGCCATGGGATCAATAGTTCAGGCTACGTTCTCTCGTGGGATGGTCTCGTTGGCCAGTCCAGACATGTCCACGCCGCCTATCATTGACCCACAGTGGCTTGCTGACCCAAGAGACATGGATACTTCAATTCAGGCGTTTAGGCGCAGTCGTGAGGTTTGGGCCCATCTTGCTGAGATTGGAGTTATTGATCTGGAATCGTGCGTGCCAGGGTCCGAAGTGGAGACGGATTATCAGGTGCGCGAGTTCCTTAGACAAGATGCGTCAGCGATCAACCATGCCTCATGCACGTGCAAGATGGGACAAAAGGGCGATGATATGGCAGTCATCGACAATGCTGCCCGAGTATTCGGGGTGCAACGTCTGCGGGTTGTGGATATCAGCAGTTTCCCCTTCCTGCCACCGGGTCATCCGCAGGCAACCATCTACGCCCTGGCTGAGAAGATTGCAGATGAGATACTGCAAGCAAACCCTTGATTAGGTGTGGTGTGGTGGCTTGTCCTCGTGTGCCGACTTTGGGCTTCGTATATAAACCATTCTTAAAGCAATCTTCCTGGACCAGTCCTAAGAACCAGTCTGTAAGCGTAGCCCATCTGTCGATCATGATGCGTGGGGTAGTCAATGCTGGGCTCACGGCTGATCACTTTGAGGAGACATCCATCCATAGCATTGTCATTGACTGGTTATTGTCGACACCAGAGACTATCCGCATTGCCTGCTGATTGAGTCTCAAATCCACTCCGTCAAGACATAAAGAAACAAAGCAAATTGAACATTCGAAAACCCAATTATGAGATACAATACAAGTGCACCACATGGTGCATGGAAACAGACACATCTTCTATCTGTACATGATTCCTTCGCAATTGCAGGTTCCAACCATCATAACCATCCGTCCTTACCCAGTCTTCACCTGTCTCTCTTCCTCTCTGTGCCCATCCAACAACTGCCCCTTGTGAACATTGTGTGAACATCCACCATCAACAAAAAAAAAAAAAGCCCCGAATCCACAAGTACCATTTTTCCAGCAGCACCCCCATCCAACGATCTCGAAAAGAGCAAAAAACCTCTTAAGCGACGACCGCCCCCTCCCGCAACAACTCCTCCGCCGTCTTGATCTTGACATCCATGACCCGCAGGAGGGTATACTTGTGCTTGCTCCGGATCATCTGGACGTGGCGGCGGCGGCGCTTCGTCTTCTCCTTGACGCGGAGGGGCTCGGAGTCGACGCCCACGACGCGCACGCGGCACTCGTACAGCCGCTCATCGACGTACGGGGCCCCTTTCAGCGAGAAATCCCGCGACCCCAGCACGGACGCCCGGTTGAACCGCAGGATGTCCCCCGGCTTCACCTTGGGCATCAGGAAGGGCAGGCGGATCGCGTCGCCCTGCGTCAGCAGGTAGGGCCGGTCGTGCAGGTGCGCGATGATGTAGTGCGGCTGCTGGGTGGTGAGTTGCGGGAGCTGGGCGAGCAGCGTCGGCGTGAGTTGCAGCGGTGCGGTGAAGGTCGGGGCCACGGGCTTTTTGAGGTCGATGGCCGAGGGAGTTGTTGAAGACAGGGGGGTTTCTTGCGGGGTGGGCGTGGAGGTTTGCGCTCGGGGGGTCGCGGCGAGTGGGGAGTCTGGGTGTGTTGTTGTTGTTGTTGAGGAGGAGGAGGAGGAGGAGGATGTTGTTGTCGTTGTCGCTGGGGCTGGGGCGGCGGCGCTGCTGTGAAGACAGGCCCGGGCGACGGGGAAGCGGCCGGCGATGGCGGCGGCGGCGCATGGCTGCTCCTTCATGGGTAGGGCGAAGACCCTGGCGAGGGCGGTGCGGGAGAACATTTTCGATGGCGGTGTCTTCTGAGGAGGTTCGATTGAAGTGAAGCAAATGTCCTTGCTTGGTCAATGGGGAGACACCGCAGCAAGACGAAAAGGTTCCGCGAAGGCCGCTTCAGTGCACAGGAGAGAGAAATTCCGGACGGGACGATAAAGTCGGGCCACGTGACTGATTATCGGTCGGCGCCCGCCAAGCCGTCTCCGAACTTTTTTGTATCAACCTTTTTGCTTGCTTGCTTGCTTGCTGGCTATCAGACCTCCCCTCCTCCCCACCCCCACTCTCTCTCACTCTCTTTTGTTGATTTTGTCGTTCGCTTTGACGCTTTTTCAACATGGTATGTTGCTGATTCGATACTGTCGTACTGAAGAATCCTCGCTAACGATTTATTCTTCCACAATGAACAGCCTCAGAACGAGTTCGTCGCACCCTTCCCGAGCCACCGGAAGAAAAAAAAAAATTGACCAGGATGAAATAGGTATATCGAACGCTGGACGAAACAGCACGGTAAGCGTCTCGATCACGATGAGCGCGCCCGCAAGAAGCAGGCCCGTGAGGTCCACCAGCAGTCCAAGGATGCCCAGAACCTGCGCGGTCTGAGGGCCAAGCTGTACCAGCAGCAGCGCCACAAGGAGAAGATCCAGATGCGGAAGCGCATCAAGGCCCAGGAGGAGAAGAACGTCAAGTCCTCCGCCCCCGAGGAGCCCTCCAAGACGCCCCTGCCCCAGTACCTGCTCGACCGCTCGCAGGCCACCAACGCCAAGGCCCTGTCCAGCGCCATCAAGGACAAGCGCAACGAGAAGGCCGCCAAGTTCGCCGTCCCCCTGCCCAAGGTCAAGGGTATCAGTGAGGAGGAGATGTTCAAGGTCGTCAACACCGGAAAGAAGACGCACAAGAAGTCCTGGAAGCGCATGATCACCAAGCCCACCTTCGTCGGCAACGACTTCACCCGTCGGCCCGTCAAGTACGAGCGCTTCATCCGCCCCATGGGTCTGCGGTACAAGAAGGCCAATGTTACGCAGTACGTTTGTCCCTTTCTATCGCTTGTGTGTCGGTTCGGTTGTCGAACGCCACTCAGCACGGACCTATCCTTTGGGTCCTTGACAAGCACACGTCCCGCTCAATACTAACGCTATTTGCCTCAATCCTCAGCCCCGAGCTCGGCGTCACCGTCCAACTCCCCATCCTGTCCGTCAAGAAGAACCCCCAGAACCCCCTCTACACCCAGCTGGGTGTTTTGACCAAGGGTACCGTGCTCGAAGTCAACGTCTCCGAGCTGGGACTCGTCACCACCTCCGGAAAGGCAAGCTACACCCTCCGTTCTGGGCATCCACGACCAATACTAACAGCGAACAGGTCGTTTGGGGTAAATATGCCCAGGTCACCAACAACCCCGATCTCGACGGTACCGTCAAGTAGGTTTCCAATCTTCTAAACCTCTCATCACCCTCACATACTAACCACCCCTCACAGCGCCGTCCTCCTCAACTAAATCAGTTCCATCCGTTTCTACCCTCCCATGTCAACGATCATGACACCAACGGCTCTTTAACCATCCTTCCCTTGTTTCCAATAACCTCCGTTGGTTTTGTGCGTTTTTTTTTCTTTTTTTCTCGTTATCCTCTCGTTGCGTGTTTGCTTCGAGAGAGTGGATTTTTATCATCGGGTGTGTGTGGCGTTAGTGGCGCGCAAAGTGTGCTTCGTTTCATTGTGATTGATCTTCCTGAAAAAGAGATTCCCGTTATTTGAATTGCACTTTAACATACAGAGTAGCTAGCTAGATATACAAAATCAACCCATTCTCGATTTGATGAATTGATACGCGATCAATCCTTTGGAAAGTCGTTCCGGAGACTCCGCTGCAGAAATGTGGTGTACAAGTAGTCCAGCACCTGGGTGACGGTTCGGTTTTGTGTTGTGTTGTGCCCCCTGGACCATGTTCATAGCAGCCTTTGAGTGACTGGATTAAGGAATACCCGATGAACTCATACAAGCTACCTACTAAGCCGCACACTCTCTCCTACCTAGGTACTAGTACCTTCCCGCATCGCCCAACGGAATCCAACAATGGCACAAACAATTCTCAGCGCGAATCTAGAACATACAATGCAATGCACTTATCAAAGACGCAGGTAAAAAAAAGTGTCTTGAGCTCGTAACAAATGAGCGGGAAACCATACTATTCCAGATTATTGAAGAACGGGCGGAAATCTTGTGGGAACCTAGTACAAAACTCCGGATGCACCATGCTCTCCTGCGGCTGGGAGCTTTCCAAGGCATACAAAAGCAACCCCGACCAAATATAATAAAAACAAACAGGGCTGAAGCGCGACGACACACACAATGATGAAATCACCCCGGAAACCGTCCCAGTACTTTGATGCTATCCAAAATAAGTGTGGGGATGGGTGAGAAGAAGAAATGTGGGGGGGGGGAAAGGATTGGTCCAAGAATAGGACAAGAAGAGAAGAAGAGAAGAGATAAGGGAGAAGAAAGAAGAAAGTCACAAGCCTCCTCCCAAGATGTGGGGGTGGTAGACTGCACAACGCCGGGATCAATCAGGATATCAAGATAATGGGTAATATACCAAACAAGGAGGGGGCTTTCAATCAGAGAACAAAGGGAATTATGTGAGAGGGTATGTATGCAGTCACAGAGTGTACGGGGTGGGTTTAGGGACCCTCTTCTAGGGCTGATTTGATCTTGGCAAAGAAACCGGCCGGCCAGGCGGCAAGCTCCTCGTCCTTCGGGATGCCGCGGACACGGCAGTGGTTGACCACATTGACCAGGATCCGGTTCAGCATATCTTGCGTGACGGGGACTGCGGCCTCGAGCTGCGCGTCGGGGTACAGGAAGGGGTCGCGCTGGCTGAGGAGCTCTTCGACGGTGGGCCGGAGGGTCTGGTCTCTTTGAAGGCATCGTTTCAAGGTACGAACCAACCCGGGCGGTACAGGGACGCCTCCGATAGCGAAGGCGGGGAAGTCGATCTTCACGTTGGGATTCGGGATGGCCAGGATACGTTCGTAGTATTTGGCGATCTTGGCGAACGGGGGCTGGCCGTAGACCATCTTGTACAGGATACATCCGAGACTCCAGACGTCGCTGGGTTTGCCCAGCTTCATCATCTTCCCCACGCTTGCCGGCAAGCCGAGGGAGGCGTTAGAGTCAATCAGAGCCTCGGGAGACATGTAGTTCGGCGTGCCTACTTGCTGCTCGCGGTGCACGTTGACGGTGTTGTCCTGGATAGCATTTGCAATACCAAAGTCGATGAGCTTTAGTCGGCCCTGAACAAGCAGGAAATTGGCGGGTTTCAGATCCGAGTGCACGACATTGTAGTCATGTACTGCTTGCACGCATTCGAGCATCTCCTTCCAGTAGTAACGAGTGAAATTGATATCGAATCGTGCATCTTCCGCGTTTAGTCGGTAGGTAAGTACTTTTTCAAGGTCGGATTCACCAATCTCCATCAGTACACTTAAAGTGTGCTTATCCTGATTCAACTCCCAGTCAAAGAGACGCACGACGCGGTCCAGGTTCTCAAGCTTCTTGAGCAGATCGATCTCGCCTTTGTAACCGGCCAATGTCACAGGGTCAACGTCCTCAAGGTTGACTCGCTTCAGGGCAAAGATCTTGTAATTCTCGGCCATCACACGATAAACACGAGAGCTTCCTCCACGGCCAACGCAATCAAGGCGTGTGAAAGGCTTGTGATTAACTGAAACCTGATTGCGCTTCTTGCGAGACTGAGATGCTGTAGCTGCTCCACCAGTAGCTGTGGCAGTTTCCAGAACAGACATTTTGGGGGGAGGCGGAGCGGGTCGATGAGGGGTATTGTTGCTTCGTGTGGCTAGGATTTTCCGGTCTGCGGGCGTCTCCTTCTCTTTCTCCTTCTTTTCTTCTTCGTAGACCACAGGTTTGTCAAGCAGGTTGAAACCTTGCGGTTTGACCCGCTTGAAGGTCGGTGGTGGCTCATTCTCCTGGTCACGATTTGAAGGTAACGTTGGCGGGGGAGGTACTTTGAATACCGGCTGGTCCTTGGCGCTCGACGGTTTCGATGACATTCCCGACGAAGAGCCAGGGGTGGACTTGGAGTGTGAGCCATAGGACTTCGGAGAAGACGATCTGGAGAATAAGCCGTCGCCAATGGCATCCCGGTCTCGGTTTCGATCACGGCGTTCCTCGCTTCTCGTGGGTGGGCTCGGGTCGGCCCACGAGACTTTGGGCGAGGAGGATTTCGCTGTATTCTTGTAGTGGTAGTGGTCGTTATCGTTATTGTCATCATAATCGGTCTCCCGAATCTCGTTTTCTTCACTCTGCCGTCGTAATACACCTCTCCGCGCTGGCCCATTGAGGAAAGTACCGGTCAACCGGCCGACCCGTTTGACGCGCAAGGAGCTGTGCATCCCCATATCTTCGATGTTTCGCGTGCGGAGCACGGATGCGGTACCCAGCCGCGGAGCATACTCATCGTCGTAGATTTTCTCCCCCGAGCGTGTCGCGCTCCCATGCTCCTGGTCGTCGATGTAGCTCCTCTCGGCCGATCGCCTCTGGGACGGCGACAGGGACGCAGGCGATCGGGTGTTGCTGCGCGATGCATTGATACGGACACTCCGTGTGCGTGGTGCGGGCGTAATGAAATCATTTTGCACGGCGTTTCGTTCGCCATGTTCGGCGGTTTCGGTCTTGGTTAACGGCGAGCTTTCTCTCCGGCTGCTGAGCGAGGGAGCGATCCGAACCACCCGGGGCGCGGGGCTTCCATTCGACTGATCGAGGGGCGAGGTGGTGCGCGAGCGCCTCTCTTGGCTTGAACCGGCCGAGCCCAGGTTTTTGTTGCGTAACCGCGGCGACAGGTCGAGTCCGTCCTCGTCGAGTAGGGCCTTGACGGACGCGCTGAACTTGGGCTCGGGCACCTCCTCATCTGAGCTGTCGCCGGCGGCATACTGCCCAGCGGATACACTGTGGCGATAGGCGAGTGAGTTGCGCACCTCTGGTGAGGTCCGTCTGGATCCTGAGCGAGACGCGGCGCGGGACATTGAGCGGGAGGAAGGTTGGCGCTGCAGCCGGGTGTTGTAGGCTGCGGCTGCGGCTGCTGCTGTTGAGGAGGAATGAGGAGAGGCCATTATGACA